GTTTCAGAAATGTTTTCTTTGTGCCTTGAATGATAAACTTCAGCTGGGATCTTACAGAGAACGTTGTAGCAGGACTGATTTATTTGATCTTCTAACTGTGTATCTGTTGCTGTTGTGTCTCAGCTCTCTGTGAGCAGAAGTGTCTGTACGGCAGTCGCTGCATCCGGCCGAATGTCTGCGCCTGCCAGAATGGATTCTCTGGGTCGTTCTGCGCCAGGAGGGTAAGAACTGAACATGGAGCCTCAGTTTAAAGAGGAGAGCATCTACTTGTTAAGTGTTTTCTGTGTCTTGGCCTCTTATTTGTTACTCCTTGTTTGGAGGAACGTCACTTTTTCCAGACTGTCAGATTCGCAGATGAGAGACAGAAGACTCACATGAAGAAAAACAGAAACACATGAGTCCGTCCTCATGAACTGGCCACTTACAGACGATGATGTATTGAAGCCAAATGCTGCTCTATATGTTTGGATTTTACAAGCTGCAGTTCATTGCCACAGTCCAGCCTCACGTTACAATCACATGTCATGTATCATTGTTATTATTTTTCAAACTTCCCAGTAACTGAAGCTGTTTTGTTTGTTTTGCACCAGCTGGAGGACAGACAAAGTGCAGGAATTTCAGCAGAGAAAGACATACAAAAGTTCTGCATGCGAATCTTTAAAGAGGAAGTCAGGAGTTACGGAGGTTTGGAGGATGAGCAGGAGTGTTAGGTTAGGCCAATGGTTCCCAAAGTTTTTTTGCTGGGCCCCCCTTTGTTTTACAAGAAAAAATAAAAATTACGTGTGGACGAGGAATACAGAGTTCGTCATCCAACGTCAAAGTTATGTGCCTTTTTTCACATTTACATCAGATGAATTGCAGAATGACAGAGACAAAATACTGTTAATCTGACTATCTTCAGGTTTTACACGCTTACATATGCACACGCAGTTACTGTCCCTCCATTTACAAAGGCAGAGGCGTCACGGTGTGATTATTGGATTATTAGTGAAAAAGTAAAACTAAGGCATTCAAAGTGCCACGGTGAATTAAAATGAAATATTCAAAAGTTAAAACAATATTATTTACAGTATAGAAAAGATATACAAGATATAAAAAAACAGAGGAATGCTAAAAGTCTTAACAGAGACGATGCAGATAAAATGGCAGAAAATAGAAGTTAAGACAAAACAAAGACAAAAAAAGTACAAAAAGTGAAAATAATCAAGTGTAGGGAGATAAAACACCAACTAAAAGATACAAAATAAGGTTAAATTTCTGCTGTTTGTGTCTTTTTGCTTCTCAGTGATGATCTGTGTAGTTATCCAGCCTCATGTTTTTATTTGTTTTGTTTTTTCCAGCTGCCTATCACACGAGGCTGACACCAAACAGCCGGCGGTAAAACCCTCAGGTGATCTGGAAAGCACCAAGACTCCAAAGGTCACCATCAGCTGAGCTTAGCATGGAAACTAGTGATGCCGACATACAAGACGGAGAAAAAGGCAGCTTATCCCTCGTTTTTGTGCTAAGCTAAGCTAACATGTGGACAACCTGGGGTCCGTTCTTCGTACTTCGCTAAGTAGGTTAGCTGGATTTGATTGTTGACGATTTCGCATGATCTTGGATCGTTCGGTTCTCCGAAGCTCATCCGGGACTTGCTGTCATAGCAACAGATCCGTAAGCGTAAACCTGCTCGGGAGCAGGCTTACTTTATGTAAACAAGATTAGATCGCGGCCACTCAGGTATGTCCGCTTCATGTATACGAAAGCAACAGCGATATTTTACCACTGTTTCACCATAAATAAATATTATCAATGTAACTAAAGATAATGCAGTATTTGATCCTTTTATTGATTCCATACAGATACATACAGGTCATTTCCTAACAAAAAGGGAAATGTACTATTAATCATTCTATTTCATGTATTTGATTATTTCAGATGTAATTCGTATTTTAGAGTAGTAATAGTAAATTACTTCATGTAATCAAGATGAGAGACCACGGCTATAAAAGCGAAGGTGGATTTGGGAAGCCTGTCGCAGCCATGTCCTGTCCGTTTACGCGAGCCACCCATTGCGGAAGGTGCAAGATTGATAAGGAGAGTTTTCAGAATCCAGCGTATATTGCGGGACAGACAGGATCCTTTAGCTCAGCGCGACAGTGTGCTCATAGAGAGATATCGATTTTCCCGTGAGGGTATTATTCACTTAACCAACTTGTTGACGAGGGGGTGCAGGACCACCACCTGTCTTTTTGTGCTCTGTCCTTTTCTTGGTTGCTGTTATAAACAAACAAACAGATTATTTCAGGGTCTCTTTCCAAGAGACGAAAAGCAATATAAGTGATAAATATTACCATTCTGTAGGATATTCTTATATTTCACTTTTACTTGTTCCCATGTTCTAGTGGGTCCTGTTGTGGCTCTAATGTGAAAGAGGATATAATGTAATATAATATAATATGATATAATATAATATAATATAATATAATATGGTGTAATATAATAAATTTACCCTACCGCCTACTGGTGTTGGCCAGAGGGGCCGATGGCGCGATATGGCAGCCTCGCTTCTGTCACTCTGCCCCAGGGCAGCTGTGGCTACAACCGTAGCTGCTTCCACCAGTGTGTGAATGTGAGAGTGAATGAATAGTGGCATCGTAAAGCGCTTTGGGTGCCTTGAAAAGCGCTATATAAATCCAATCCATTATTATTATTATTATTATTATTATTATTATTATTATTATTATTATTATTATTATTATTAATAAATTACTTATGAGTTTAATTTGTCAGCAACTTTCTGCCAGCCCTCTCTCCTTGCTTTTGCAGCCTTTGCAGTGTTCCCTTGCGTTTTAATTAAACTCTGAAACTCCTGAAATCCCTCAATCGAGTTCTTGCTCTGCTGCCGAAAAATACTGAGCGCGCTCCTTCGACATTTTCGCCGACCAATCAAAGGGTTGCCGATCAATGTTTCTACTATCGATGCGTAGCCCCTGTTAAGCCACCCAGTGATCTCACATTACTTCATCCAGCTATACTAATCGTCAACAACAGGTGTGTTCGGAGAACCGGAATAGCGAGCTCAAAGTTAGCACGATGATTTGATCTTGGATGTAGTAAGCGAGGTACGAAGAACGGACCCCTGTTTTATGTTTGTTTGTTTTGGGGAATTGGTCACACCGATGAGAAATTGCTCTTAAGCTGCAGAGGGAAACTATTTTCCAGACTTGATTAACATCTAAAACCTACAAAACCTACACTTCAGAAGGAAAAATCCTCACCTGAGGTTCAACATTATTTGCAGTCCCAACACTAAAAGATATTTTGTCACCCTAACACATTAACACGTCCTCAGAGTTTAACTGTGCTGACTCATTGGGTTCTTTCACTCATTTACAGCAGTTTACAGTAAATCTTCAGGGTTTGTCCTTTTCACCGTGAATCCAAACCTCAGTAAGAGTATTTATTTATTTACTTTGTTGTTTTATATTGTCACATATTTGCTGTTGTACATTTCTTAATCAGTGTATAATCTGTTATTTCTTATCAAAGCATTGGCTACTGGCTGTTTTGTAAGAAAATAAAGCTCCTTTAGAGGTACCGCTTGTTGTCCTTCCTAAAAACCTGCATATATATGGAAGCAGGGCTGTCTCCAGGAATTTTTAGATGGGGTGGCACAGGAACTTGGGGGGGGGGGGGGGTGGGGGGGGGTATTAATACCAAACTAAATCACTTATATGTGATTAAATCATTACAAGTTGCTGAATTTTCAGACTGTGGACAGACTTCCTGCTTCCATAAAAATTCATTAGGTGTGACATGTAACAAAATGGATGGCTCCATATTTATATGAGTTTAAGAGTAAATAAGTCTACAGTTGTATTTACTATGGTGCATGGAAGAGAAAAAGGCTGTTTCCCAGAAAAAATGACTTCCAGAAGGAATTTAGAGGGGGCACCTGAGGCCCTCCCCTTAGCTACGTCACTGATCTGGTGTATTTTTAACTTGATGATGCTTTTAATTTGTTAATTTCCTTACAGGTACTTTCTGTAATTAAGCTTTGTTGAATTCAAGATTTCGTTTTCTTTCTTTTATTTTTTAACCACGGGGGCAGCATTTTACCTGCTGCTTAACTTCTGGCAGACTGTCATTGCAAATAAGAACGTCTGAAAAGGGTGTCTGGCAAAATAAGGGTTTGCTGACTCACTGCACCATCTTCTGGTACAAGATGGTATTACATGAATGTACAGCCCAGCCCTAGTTCCCCTTTAGTTTTTATCTCTACAACACAGCACATAAACACTTTGGAAATAAACTCTCCAGTTGTTCCTTCACATTTTGCTGATTGTTTAGTTAATTATGTAAACTTTTAAACTATTCTTAAAGATAAGGTTTTACAATAAGTACTTTGGCTGAGAGCAGCAGCAGAGAGGCATTTGACTTTGCTGCAGGGGCCAGACAAGTTCACAGCCAGCAGGTCGGGGCAACAAAGGCTGCGAGGAAAGGAGGATTAAGAGATTAATGAGGTTGCATTAGCTCAACACCAATTAGGATTCCTCTCCTTCCCTCTCTCAGCCAAAGGCAAAAGAGCCAGCTGACTTTTCTGCTGTTTTGAGTCAATTGTTCCATATTAACTTTTTTTTAAAAAAGGTTATGGGGGGCTTTTAAGTCCAGTATGTTCATTTAAATCCTGTTTGGCCTCCTGTGGCAACAGGGCCTCACACATATCTGTGGAGGTTATTTGCGCTCTCCAAAAAACCCCCCAAAAAGAGTGGAAATGATGATTGGGAGTCAACTGCCCTCTGGTGACAACAATACAAATATATCAAGATTATTTAAAACAAAAACAAAAAAATCTGAGAAATTTAAATGTTTATGTTAAGATTAAATTTCATCAATAAGCCCAAACTCACTTCCCCTTTCAAGTCTAATCTGAATGAAAGTGATAGGCTGAGAGGTTTTTCAGCAACACACACACACACAAGTGTGTTCACAGATATTTATATCCACCGCCAAAGATGGCACTCGGCAAGGTGGAGGAGGAGGTGTGTGTGTGTGTGTCCATCGTGGTGGGCACAGACAGCGGGAAGGGACGGGACGGACAGGGAGGAAAACACCTGGACTGTTCACTCAGTGAAGCTCGGAGCCGACAGCCAAGCCAGGAGAGCTGCCAGTGAATACACACACACACACACAGTAAAGTTCAAAGTCAAAGAGGTCCAGACTGAATCACTGTGAAATGGTTTCCTTTCAGTAAATATTAACATTGATAATTCATCCATGAAAAAGAAGGAAGGAAGAGAAAACGCTCCATAGTGGATCAAATCTGTAAAAGAGGCAGAACCACATTTAATGTGTTTCTTTAGGCACCTTGTTACTAACAGCCTCATAAAAACACATAACTTGTTTTTATTTCTTTAGACAATTCTATGAAAATGACAAAGATAAGACAGACTGACATAAAATAGTATTTTTGCACCAACAAAGTGATTCCCAAAGAGCTATGAGCTGAAAACCTGGCATATCTCATCATGGTGTGCAGTGTGTCCTTAAAGAAATTGAGGAAACTGGACAAAAGAAGAAGCAGCAAGCTTGAAAAACTATCACGCAAGAACTGGACTTAAAATCAGTGGCAACAGGTCTGATGGAGTGATGAATGCACCAAATACTTTTGGTCCAAATCATCATCAGCATGTACAGAAGAGGTCAGGAGAGCTACAACAGTGTCTACAGCCATCAGTAAAACACAGTCATGGTTTGAGCTGCATTTCAGTCAGTGGTGTTGGAGATCTTGTTAAAATTCATGAATTACAGAACACAGAAAAGTCCCATCAGATTTTAAACCACCATGGAAGACCATCTGATTGGCAACAGCTTCATTTTTCATCATGACAATGATCCCAAACACACTGCCAATGCAGTAAAATCATCCCTGGACAGAAAAACACACAGCGGAGCACTATCAGTCATGGATCGGCCTTCCCAGAGCCCGGACCTCAACATTATTGAAGCAGTGTGGGATCATGTTGACAGAGAACAGAACAAAAGGCAGAAACAAAGAAGAGCTTTGAATGTCCTTCAAGAAGCCTGGAGAACTATTCCTGAAGACGACTTGAAGAAATGACGAGAAAGCTGCTGAAAATGATTTGCAGAATTGTTGCTTTGTTTTTATTTTCCATTAAAGTGTAAACAGATATCGGTGGACAGAAGCTTCAGTCTGAATCAAATATGGAATATGGCCTATTGGCCTTGAGGGGAGCCCCACCTCGGTGGAGCCTAATTTAAACCCATATCCTCCAGACCACAACAGGTGCCCCCCTCCTCCACTCCCTTTACGTTCCACCTGTCTTCTCTTCTCCGTGGCGGGCTGGCGATCCAGAAAGCAGCCGTCAGTCATTACAAATGGCGTGCCGGCCCCCTAAGTCACCGGATCGGCGGCAGCTGCTCGACCCCCAGAGCTATTTTCACCCTCAGGATAAAGTGGTGTTCAGCGAGCCGCCCGCACGGCCGAGCAGCTCCAGTCACGCTGCAGCAGAGCCAGGATGAAGTCCACCGGCAGCGAGTGCACCGTGCAGCCAGACTGCTTCACCTCAGACCTGGAGGACCTGGACAGCGCCAGCAACAGCTCCGACGGCGGCTGCACGCCGCGCAGGGAGCCGGGCAGGTGTCCAGAGGAGGAGCCCCGAAACGAAGAAGGAGACGGAGGAGGAGCAGCGGAGGAGACTCGCGTCTGCCCGGCGTGAGCAAACAGAGGCAGGCGGCCAACGCGCGGGAGCGGGACAGGACGCACAGCGTGAACACGGCCTTCACGGCGCTCCGCACGCTCATCCCCACCGAGCCCGCCGACAGGAAACTCTCCAAGATCGAGACACTGCGCCTGGCCTCCAGCTACATCTCCCACCTGGCCAACGTGCTGCTGCTGGGGGAGGACTGCCTGGACGGACAGCCCTGCCTGCGCTACCAGAGCATCCTGCACGGCCCCGCCGCCCTCAACGTACCCTCCCTGCGGCCCATCTGCACCTTCTGCCTCAGCAACCAGAGGAAGCTGGTGAGTGGCTTCTCACACCCATAGAGTCGATCAGTGCCAGGGACGTTTCTCGGATTTCTGGGGGTGGGGTGGCATGTGGACATAAGGAGGGGGGCAAGAAACAGTTAGGGGGTGGTCAGATTCTTCTGTAATAAACCCAAAGCAAACTGCCTGCAAATACTCAGAACTGTGATCATTTTAATTGTGGGCACATCCTGCCTCCATGAACATGAATTAGGGGACGTAACAATATGGTGGCAACACAGAAGCATGAGAGTCAGCCACGAGGGAATAAAGTAAAGAAGAAGAAAAATTTATGGACACAGTCTGGTTACAACCACTGTTAAGTTTGCCAAATAATAATTTGTCATACTTTTCACCTTTTGTTATGACAAGATGACTAAATAATTCAATTTTATTTATATAGCACCAAATCATAAAAACAGCTGCCTCAAGGTGCTTTACAATGTAAGGTAGCAACCCTACAATAGTACAGAGAAAACCCCAGAAATCAGAAGATTGAGCAAGCAGTTGGTGACAGTGGGAAGGAAAAACTCCCTTTTAACAGGAAGAAGAGGTGAGGAGAACTAATAAGTCATGCACGAGGACAAAAATTATAATGAAATGTATTGACACATTTATCAACAAAGAAAAATGAGATAAAAACATTCTGGAAAGGTGAGACCCAATCAGAACAATTGTGTAGAAAGGCGGGATGAGGTTGGAAGTGATCCAATCACAATGAATTTCCTCGTGCAGTAAGGTTAGATGGCACATTTGATCTGCCAAAGAGAAACAATACAACTTTTCAGCATCCAAGGTTGCTGGTGTTGTTGTTATACAACTTCAATGTTCTTTGTTTCGCATGAAAACAAAATTTGCATTTGATGTGACAAATATTTACACTTTATAGTCAGTTTTAGGTTTAGTCAATTATAATCATATTCATTTAGTCGATTAAAATAAATCAAAATAAACACTGGTTACAAGCCAAAGTGCTCATAATACACCACTTTAGGCTGGCTCAAAAACTCTCACATTGAGCCCACATGGCTATGTCCATCTTTTATATACAGTCAGTTAAGACATGAAAAAAAAGTTTTTGACATTTATAATTAGGATGTTTTTTATTGCATGTTTTTAAATTTATTGGTGTATATAGTTATAGTCATGCTTTGAGGAGGTCAACACTGTTTCTTCGCATTGTCGTTTGATGTTACTGTACAATTGAAATCTCATTTTAAAGGACAGGGAGAATGTACCACAGATGCTTTTAGCCACATCCATGATTCCTCTGGCTCCGTGAGACGCTATCACTTGTTGTTTGGGTCTGCTCAGGTCCTCAAACCACACAGATCTGCTCAATGCAGACCCAATGATGCACGGTCTTTACATAGCTAGTGGCACCTGTCTCCTTACTGACTGACACCACAAAATGAAATCAGGCTGTGGTGCCTTCAAGAGCCCTCAACCCAGCTGCAGACTTTAAATTAATGATTTGAGCATCACAAATGTTTCTTTGTTCATGAAACATTTGTGAATCCGTGTGGGTCACAAGTGTTTACAGCATGTGTTGGAGTCTGGCTCGGACCCTTTACGGTTATAAATGCAGAGCAGAATCTGCCACAGGATCGGGATTATTATGTCGCTGTTACATTTAAAGGTAAAAATCTGTAACAACACACATTTTAACTGACCTGTTTAGAGGTGAGGATCATGCAGTTGTTGTGACGGTGGTTTCACTGAAGTCTGTTAGTGTGTTTGTTTTTGCCTCCACAGCTCAGAGATGGAGCGAAACACTCAGCTGCTGTGTGAAACTTCTTGGCACCAGACAGGCGAGGAGTCCACCACCCCGTGGTGTTGTTTACATGTAGGACTTTGTACATATATGAATATAAATATCTTTATTTTTGGACGAGACGAGAAAACTAAGGACAGATTTAAACACTGAAAAGCACTTTCTGTTCACGCTCATGTGCTTCTGGAGCCTCTGTGTTTTGGTTGAACTGTAACCTGAGCCGATGTGTAAAGTAGCACCTGACGTGGGGCTATTTTGGTCCCACCAATAGTACAAACTACCCCTTGGACACCCCACCACCCTATGTCTGACCTCTTAAAAAAAAACAACTAAACTAGTGGCTGCTGTCAGTTCAGTGTTACCTTGCGCTTTAAAGGGGCATTAACTGATGTGTTGCCTATAGTAGTGAACAGTGGGAACTGCAAAAATGCTCATATACATGTGGAAAAAAAAACCCTGCATGTCAATATCTCAGGACTTTAATCCCCCAGAAGTACAACAGTCAGTGAAGATGTTGAAATTTACACACTGGATTACACTGCTGTTTCCTTACTCCACTCTTCTTATGTCTACCTGGTTAATTTTTGAGCATATTTTTCGTAAAGTGAAAATGTTGCAAGAAAACCTTATAATGAGTTGATCCCAGCATGCAAAGCACTCTGGAAAATCCTTTTGTTCCTTCCCAAATTCCCAAATGCCACCATTTTAACAGATCACATGGAGAAAGCCATGTCTCCTAAAGGAAAAGTGGTCTGTTATTCATTTGATATTTTACAATAATAGACCAGATTATCTGAATAGTAATGATCTGAGTATGAGGATGTGTATCCCACCTCTGGTAGCTGGTATAGATTCCAGCCGCCCCACAACACTGAATTGGATGAGCGTACAAGAATGTGTTTGTTTCGTCAACAAGCTGCCATCAGCACCGGTGACTGACTGATGGTGTTTGACATCAGTAATACCAGCTTTGGCCTAGAAGCTTTGTGATGCCAAGCTTCTTTTTTTTTTTTGGCACTGAAAAGAATTATGAATGTGGACTAAAGTCAGACTCTGCAGTTTGTTTTGCTGCCATCTTTCCAGGACAAAGTACTTCCTTTGTGGGATAAAATATCCCATTAAACACAAGAGTGTCGTTTAGTTCTATGGGAACTTAGTGAAGGATCGGTTGAGTTATTTTCAGCGTGCTTTGCATGATTTCACAAAATTGGGAGGTCAATTCCAGTTAATCTGGATACACTTAGATACTGAAGGACATTTAGCATTAAAATGGTTTCCTGAAATAAGCAGTGTGTTCTTAATTTGAAGGTCCAGTTGGAAACTTCCTGGTAACTGTATGTGCGTCAGAAGTTATGTTTTTGGCCTGATTTCAAGATAAAGTTCTTTGCGTAAATGTTTACTTTTGCATTGTTACACGGTTTCCTCATCACTGTAAAAACACTGTGCGATAGGCTTCCTTTTGCTCTAAATTGTAGTGTATTTAATCCTTCTCAATCAGCTGGATCCATCAATTTTTATTGTTCCAGCACTAAACTATGACTGGGAGCTGTTGCACACTACCTCATACCTGTGTTTTGAAATATGAAGGCCTACCTCCAAATCCAATGAGTAAGAAGTACTTGAATACCTGACAACTTGTGTTCTTTGCACATCGCACATACTGAGAAGCTGCTCGAAGAGAAAAATGTATTTTTGTACAATAAAAATAAAAACAATGATATCAAAACTTCAATTGTCTCTCATTTGTGGGCCTTAAACTATATGTTATGCTTGTAATTTGCAAACTCTGTAAAAGCACGCTTTGTGTAACTTCCCAAAATGACATTAATCAGTCAAAAGAAAAGAAAAGACTGATTTATGTCTAAAGTGTCTTTTATTATGTTTAGAGACATCAACAGAAGTAAGATTAGGACTAGGCTGCACTTTGATGTAATACCACTTTGGACCACAAGATTGTGTAGTGAGTCAATGCAACCTTTATTTAAACCGATGAGATACCAAGAGCAAATTTCTTTACATTGACGCCAAAAAATAAAGGCAAATGTGGAGGAAATAGGGGAAATATTGGCTTGACAAGGACTCCAGCTTTGGAGAATATGAAGGAAGGTATAAAGTTTTGGACTTTTAACTGTATTTTTTAAAATAAATTTTACAGCTTTTCCTGCTAATAAATACCTCTTCCACAGCCATTCATACTAGACCAAATTAGATAAAGTATTAAACAACAAATGTTCCTGTCTACAATAAAAATTTCAGTAAAAAAAATATCAGTCAACAAAAATATATTTTATAATTACAGGTAGGGATGGGTATCGTTTAGGTTTTATCCGATACCGGTGCCAAACCAGTACTTTTGAAACAGTGCCGGTGCTCAAACCGGTGCTTAAAGAATGGAGAACACAAAATTGGTCCAAAAACCTCTTATGTTCAGCTGTTTTTTTGTAAAAAGATAACAATGTTAGCCTTTTCTGCAGCTAGAGGGCATATATGGTATCACTCTTGGCTGGAAGCAGTGCTTAAACAATGGAAAAAACACAAACTTTGTCCAAAAACCTCTCATGTTTAACCGTTTTCCACTTTTTCTTTGGTCATTTTAGCCTTTTTGGCCAGGGTGAAGGCCGCATGTAACTACGACGGTGTTTGCTAGTTCACCTTACATGCATTAATTTAATAACGTGGTGAGTAGGGCTGGGCGATATGACCCAAAATTCATATCTCGATATTTTTTACCTGGACGGCGATATAAGATATATATCTCGATATTTTTTTTTAAAAGCCATAAAGTAAGAACAAAAAGAGAGTTCTTAGTCAAAGCTGTGTCCCAGATGTCACACAGGCACTTTTATTAACATAGAGCATAGATGTACATAAGATTTACTCAAAAATAAATTATGAGCATTTATTAAATAATAATGCTCCATAAATAAAAGAGAACAATGTTGTTTTTGTGCATAACAAAAAGCTCACAATTGTGCAGTCAAAATGTAAACTAAAAGACGCTGAGCATAGTAACAAAGACAGATTTCACAGCTGCTCTGTTCCCAACTTCTACTGTGTGACTGACAGCATTGAGTTTGAAATCCTCTTGTAACCACGTCTCTTAACAGGTGCCATTTATAGTCCTTATACACAGTAGGGTAATATTACGTTGAAGCACAGTATGTATCACTCCGCAAAGGCTCCTCGGTAGCCGTAATGCTCTGACAATCCATCAAGCGGTGCAGCACCATAGCTTACCAAAGTTGTACTAAAACATTTTTGACAGATTGCTGAGCGCTGTGTTCCACATAAAATCGGTTCGCGGCCATCAAGCACAAACAGAATTCATACATAAGGCGCGCTGTCAACTTTTGAGAAAATGCAAGGATTTTAGGCTGTGCAGCGCCTCTGGGCTGCATGGCGTTAGCGTGGTTAGCTCGTTAGCGTGGTTAGCTAGCTAACACGTTTACGGCGTCCAGCCCCACGCACGGCGATGTGCAGTAACTCGTTAACGGAGATTTGCCGTGTCCATCTTGTCGCTTCCTGCAGGTGAAGCGATGGGGGAGGAGGGGCGAGGCCGAGTAACGTTGCGTAAAGACAAAAGTGGACGAAAAAGAGGCAAACTTGCGGCTCCACAAGTATCCGATTGTTCAGTCTGACGTCACTAGCCGTGTCTGGGTCTAAACTCCGCTGCAGGTCCACATATCAAACGATCACTATGGCATTACTGAGAGTTGAAAAACTGTCTAAAGTCTTCATCTTTAATAAAATGATCAGCGTTCTGCTCTACCAGGTGTAACAATTGAGTTTAACATCCAGGCATCCATGAAAACGGAATTTATGACATTTAACGGAGTTAGAAGTTAGCAGGAAGTTAGCTCGCTAGCTTCTATCTAAATACAATATAGCATGTCCTGACTGCGGGGTTTTGGAAACAAATTAAAACGTACAGCTCTGCTATCACTTCCAACATAAATGAAGACAGAAAACTAAACAGCAGTGACGTTTGTAGGGCTACTGAAGTTTGGCTAGCTGGTATATAATGATAATGACCGCTAGCGACACAGCTATGTTAGCATAATATAAACAAGCTAACTTTTTTTCCACTCGATAAAAGTTAACGTGAGTGTTCTCGGTGGTCAGGAACAAATGTAATCGCATGGCAGGATGCTGTAACAGGACCAAACTTCAGCCAGGAGAACAACTGAGAGAATACGAGGTTAGTCATTCATATACTGCTGCATGGGCTGGGCGGTATACATCCTAAGGTTTTAAAAACTGAGCTTAAATAAATGATTAGCGGTAATAAAAGCTGAGGGAGGTCAACAGGGATCACTGACTGTTTTAGGAGCTTTTTGAGATCAAATCGAAGAAAATACATAACATTAAACATGTTAACAACACAAAAGCCATATTAAACGCAGACTACTTTAGACCCGGAAGTAGGATTCGTCGCGTCATCATTGAACAACCGGATAATTATAACGTAACATAGACTATATCGATATAAAGGATATTGTCACACCTTATATCTCGTATAAAAATATATCGATATTTTTTAAAAACTCGATATATCGCCCAGCCCTAGTGGTGAGCCTACTCAATGTAAATTACACACGAACAACATTAAGCTACTCACGCAGAGAAGAACGGCTGCTGCTGCCATCATCATCCGTCATCATTTCTGCTACACTGGCAGGGCTAGGGGCCAGGACTCTCCTCTTCGGGTTTTTGGGGGATGTTGCTAACTCCGGGTCCGATAACAGGCACCACACCCGCAGTAGATGTGCTCGGTGTGAGGTCTCGCAGCAAGCTATCAAATACGGCGCATTTCTCGGCTTTTAAAAAAACGCTATGCGTCGCCAGGTGTTTCATCAAATTTGAGGTGTTACCTCCTTTGACAGTATCACAGTATCAGCTTAAAGCACTTGTTGCAGGCTGCTGAGTTTGCATCTTTTGCTGTGAAGTACAGCCAGACTTTTGACCGCTTCGCCCTGGGCGTTTTTAATCTGTAGCTCTGCTCTAAAAGAACGTACGTACTCTCCTCGGAAACGTAAAATGATTGGCTAGAATCTAAAGTGTATCACAGCTCAGGAAAAATAAAGCACCGAAATGTGCTTTTCGGTCTGGTTACTACCGTTTATGTCAGAACCGATACCGGTACCCATCCCTAATTACAGGACAGTCTAACTAAACTTTCTGTAATTTTACACAATTATGATGTAAAAACACCGACACGTGCAGTTGAAATTGCACTTCTTAGGAGGTTACTAGGGAATTATGAAAGCCCGAGGATGATTTCCTTATTTCTGTAACAAAAGCAGAGGGTAACTAAAATCAGTAAAATAAGATGACAGGGAATTATTGTCAATATAAAAATCGTATGAAATTAAGATAAATTGAAAATTAATACATAGTTCGGTAAAAGTGAATGAATCTTTTAACTATTAATTTGTAAACTCAGTAGTCGTCATTGCTCAGGGATGTTTTTGTTATGGACACAGTAACAATCAAAGATCTGAGAGACACTTTTGTAAATCCAGTTGTAAGAAATGGTCAATTTGTTGATCTCCAAGGGATTGTTCCCAAGTATTTGGAAAACACCCTTGCACACAGGCAATCCTTAAGTTACACTTACATACCAATTGGGATTCTACGGAGCCCCCCAGGGGACATGGGAGAAAAAAAAATTACGGAGGAAAAAAAAAAAATTAAGGAGAAAAAAAAAATTAAGACAGACTTTTGCGAGATCTCGCAAAACTTATTGCGAGCGCTCGCAAAAGTATTGCGAGATCTCGCAATAAGTATTGCGAGCGCTCGCAATAAGTATTGCGAGATCTCGCAAAAGTCTGTACCATAGACCTCCAAATCAGCACTGAAACCTTAGAAACAACCACAGCGATGGAGGACACACACCCATTTGAGCGATTCATAGATTTTTACTTTGAGCTTGGACTAAACTATAAAGACATTAAAACTGTGCTTTGCATTAGACACAGTTTTCATATAAGCGAAAGACATCTGAAGAGAGTTCTTAGCGCAAGGGGACACACTCGCCACAAAGCGTACTCTGACCTGGCCGTCTTGGTTGAATTTATAGACAACCAATTGCAGTACTCTGGGCAGCTTCACGGATACCGATGGATGTACGCTAAATGCAGGGAACATGGACTACGCGTGAGGAAAGAGGATGTGCGCTTGGTTTTGAAGGAGCTGGATCCCCGAGGCGTCGCACTGAGGCAAGCAAGACGTTTCAGGCGGAGGAACTATTTTTCAAAAGGGCCGAATTTCATCTGGCACATGGACTCCTACGACAAACTGAAGCCATATGGCATCTGTATCAATGGTAGTATTGACGGTTTCTCGAGAAAAATAATCTGGCTTAATGCATACACAACAAATAGTAATCCGAAAGTGATCGGGGGGTATTACATAGAAGCGGTGCAGCGTTTAAAGGGCTGCCCTAGAGTTGTGAGGGGCGATCTTGGAACTGAAAATGGCCATGTTAGAGGCTTTCAGCGTTTCCTTGTGCCCGTGGCTCCTAACGACACCCCTGAGAGTTACTTGGAGGGAGCAAGTACTGCCAATCAAAGGATTGAATACTGGTGGCGTTTTCTTGGCAGCCAGTGTCTGGAGTTCTGGTTATCCTTATTTGCAGACATCAGAGACAACGGGTACTTTGATGGTGGGTTTCTGGACAAAAACCTCCTTCAGTTTTGTTGCATGGGACTCATCCAGGTGAGTT